ACCTGAACATCAGCAGGAGAGGACTCTTTAAAGTAGAGACACTAATGGCGCGTTTCCACTGCAGGCCTCGCTCGGTTTGGTTATGCCTTATTAGGCCCGGCTCACTTTAATGCTGCGCTTCCATTACAGTTTAGGAACTGGGGTAGTTACTATAGTAACGCAGTGTAGGCGGAGCCGTGACGTCCTTTTCAATGAGAGCCCCAGAAAAACAACACAGCCGTTAGCTCTTAGCACTCAGAGCTCACAGCTCCTCATATCTGTTCAGAAACTAGACAAAAGTTAAACAAGTACAAACCACAGACTGCCTGTGTCATGGAGAATACAGTCGTTGGTTTATTTATGTCTGTATAGGCCGTTGTTGTGAGTGTGGACGGTCGGAGCATATATAACGTTAGCTTAGCCAAGCTACATTTAGAAAACACGCATTTTAAAAGGGTTGTTCGCCTGCCGTCTGTCTGCAAACTTGTCAAAGCATTAATTCATGGTTTTTACTAACCGGTATCAGTATGTTGTTACTTCGGCATCATTTTGAAACGTGTATTACAATTACATCACGGTCAAATATGTTCATCTTGTTGTAGTTGTAGCCCCCTTGCCAGCGATTCTCTCTCTAGTTTAGCATACTCAGCCCGACTCAGCCTGGTTGTTCCTGGCCCTAGAACCACGATTTTATGGGGCCAGAAAAAGTGTGAATTAGGACCCGCTAGCCGGTACTAGGCCAAGTGGAAACGCAACCAAAAACGGGCCCCGCACGGCTCTGCACGCTTAAAGCGAGCTACCCGCTGCAGTGGAAACGCGCCATAAAACGACTAAATGCTATCACCACCTCTATCTATAACTATGGACAGTTAATCATAACGTTATCAGAATCGCAGTATGGACTTGAATTGCTTTTATTTGCTGCATTCACACCGGAGTACTTTCACCCGTACTTTTCCCCTTTAGTTCCGTTAGTGCCCGTTGCGTTCACACCAAAAAGTTCACTTGGCTCAGGGCACTTTTAGCCCCATGTTTAGTGCCTGCTATAGAGGTGGTACTCTCCTGGGGGAAAAAAGTGCCCCAGTTCTGATTGGCTGGGCGAATTGCAAACCACGCACCGTAAAAGTTATTTGAAGCCGCCATTGTATTTGCTGGCATTAGCATTATTACATTACATTGCATTTAGCTGACGCCTTTATCCAAAGCGACTTACAATAAGTGCGTTCGACCAGGAAGACACAACCTTGAAGAAAACAGAATCATAAAGTACATCAGGTTTCATAGAGCCAAACATTTCAAGTGCTACTCAACTGGCTTTAGGTAAGCCAGTCCTTTATTAGTATAAAAGTGCTTCGTTAATAGTTCTAACGCTCGAAGTGGAGTCGAAAGAGATGAGTTTTCAGTTTGCGCCGGAAGATGTGCAAGCTATCTGCCGTCCTGATGTCAATGGGGAGCTCATTCCACCATCTTGGAGACAGGACAGCAAACCCACGTGTTTTCGCCGATGGGAACTTGGGTCCCCCTCGCAGCGAGGGCGCAGCGAGTCGTTTGGCTGATGCAGAGCGTAGTGCACGCGCTGGGGTGTACGGTTTAACCATGTCCTGGATGTAGGAAGGGCCAGATCCATTCGCAGCATGGTAAGCAAGTACCAGTGTCTTGAAGTGGATTCTAGCAGTTACCGGAAGCCAGTGAAGGGAGCGGAGGAGCGGAGTGGTGTGGGAGAATTTAGGAAGGTTGAAAACCAGACGAGCCGCTGCATTCTGGATGAGCTGCAGAGGTCGGATGGCACATGCAGGTAGACCAGCCAGGAGCGAGTTGCAGTAGTCTAGGCGTGAGATGACGAGAGCCTGGACCAGAACCTGAGTCGCTTTCTGAGTCAGCTGGGGACGTATCTTCCTGATGTTGTAAAGCGTGTATCTGCAGCAACGGGTTGTAGCAGCGATGTTTGCAGTGAAGGACAGGTTGTTATCTAGGGTCACACCCAGATTCCTTGCAGTCTGAGTCGGGGAAACAACTGAGGTGCCGATGTTGATTGTTAGGTCAAGAGTGGGACAATCTTTTCCCGGGAGGAAGAGCAGCTCAGTCTTGTCAAGGTTGAGCTTGAGGTGGTGAGCAGACATCCACTGAGAGATGTCAGCTAGACAAGCAGAGATGCGTGCAACGACCTGGGTCTCTGAGCGGGGAAAGGACAGAATTAATTGGGTGTCGTCAGCGTAGCAGTGGTAAGAAAAACCATGCAGGCTAATGACTGATCCGAGCGAGTTTGTGTACAGGGAGAAGAGGAGGGGACCAAGAACAGAGCCCTGAGGGACCCCCGTAGTTAATTGACAAGGGTCGGACTCAGACCCTCTCCAAGTCACCCTGTAGGTACGGTCTTTCAGGTATGAGGTGAGGAGGGAAAGTGCAGAGCCTGAAACTCCAAGTTTTTGGAGAGTGCGAAGGAGGATCTGATGATTCACCGTGTCGAATGCAGCAGTTTGAAGGGATAGGGTCCAGAGGACAGGTGGTAGGGCGGGCAGAGGTAATGAGGGTAAGAACCTCACTTGGAGAGAGAGGGGAAAAGGAGGTTAGTGTGTGGGTGAAAGGAGGGTCTGGTGACCCAGCGGTGAGTAAAGGTGAGTCAGAAAAAGAAGAGCGAATATCATCAACCTTTTTTTCAAAGTGGGTAACAAAGTCGCTTGACAGAAGTGAGGAGGGGGGAGGAGCTTTTGGAGGGTCCAAGAGGGTGGAGAAGATGGAAAATAGTTTTTTAGGATTGGAATAGGAAGATTGGATCTTATCTTGAAAGAAAGTGCTTTTTGCCTGAGAGATCGAAGCAGAGAAAGAGGAGAGGAGAGCTTGATAGGTTAGGAGGTCGTCACGGTGTTTGGATTTCCACCATTTCCGCTCTGCTGCCCTAAGGACGGTTCTATTAGCACGCAGTGCATCATTTAGCCAGGGAGCAGGAGGGGACTGACGAGCCTGCCGAGATGTGAGAGGACAGAGCGAGTCCAGAGTGGATGAGAGAGTAGAGAGGAGAGTTTCTGCAGCAGAGTTTGGAGGCAGGAGTTGGAACGAGTCAGAGGAAGGGAGGGCTGAGAGCACCGACGAGGCAAAGGTAGAGGGGGAGAGGGAGCGAAGGTTACGGCGGACAAGTGCAGGATGGGAAGAGATTAAGAGTTTGTTATGTTTGGAAAGGGATAGAGAGAATGAAATGAAGAAGTGATCGGATGTGTGGAGCGGGTTTACAGAGAGGTTAGAAGTAGCGCAGTTCCTTGAGAATATGAGATTAAGGACATTGCCAGCTTTATGAGTCGGTGGGGACGGAGACAGTGAGAAAGCAAAGGCGGTTAACAGAGATGTTAGTTCGTCTATCTTCCCCGTCTGGAGGTTGAAGTCTCCGAGAAGTACAGCGGGAGGGCCAGTTTCAGGGATGAGTGAGAGGAGATGATCTAATTCCTCCAAGAAGTCCCCCAAGGCGCCTGGCGGACGGTAGAGAACAACAATGGTTAACTGTATAGGATGGGTTACTGTGACGGCATGGAACTCAAAGGTGGAAGGAGTGAAGTTAGGTAGCTTGAAGAGGGAAAAGCTCCATTTGGGAGAGAGCAGGAGACCAGTGCCACCTCCTCTGCCAGTGGGTCTGGGTGTATGGGAGAAGGAATATGCAGTGGAGAGAGCTGCTGGGGTGGATGTGTTGGATGGAGTAATCCAGGTCTCAGTGAGAGCAAGGAAATCCAGAGACTGCAGGGAGGCGTAGCCAGAGATGAAGTCAGCCTTAGGAACAGCTGACTGGCAATTCCACAGGCCACCAGAAACTAGATGTTGGATCTCAGTGGAGCACGTGGGATAGACGAGAGCATGCCGGTTATATCGATTAGGAGATACACGGGGCCAGTGATAATGGCGAGAAGACACATGAACAGGAATGGAGAAAATACACATGATTATAGCATGAGGGGCTAGAAAACTAAAGAAAAGATAAATAAGACACCAGCTCAATCAGAGTAGGATTTGCCTCCTCTTTGCCTCCCTCGTGACTCCCGCAGGACTCCAATGTCTTTGTCAGTCTTACTCCCGCAGGACTCCAATGTCTTTGTCAGTCTTACTCCTGCAGGACTCTAATGTCTTTGTCAGTCTTACTCCCGCAGGACTCTAATGTCTTTGTCAGTCTTCGGCTGTCTGACGCTGAAACTGACGCTGAAGCTGACGCTCCAGGAAAGAGCTACCCGAAATGGACGCCTGATTGCTCAGTTCACACAGCTGTAGGGCCACGGCCCTCTAATTAGTTTAACTATCTACAGCTGATGGGCGACAATAGACTGGCCGTGCCTATATTAATGCAGGCTTGAGTGCTGAGACCTGTAAAGCAGGTTTCGCCTGAGCAGATCTGAGATTTAAAATCTCTCAAACGCGATTTAGCCGTTTAAGCTACAATAACAATTTATACAGAGTCGAATAAATGAAACAGAGAAGTCTAATTAAACAAGAATATAACTTACAGTGGTTGCTGCGTCAATAGGTAATGTCGTCACCGGGTCCAGATGCACACTAGCATTAGCATTAGCCCTGCACACCAACGGAGAGAGAATAACTTATGGCAACACAAAAGAAAACATGGGAGGGGTGGAGATGATGAGGTGTCGGCGTTCTGCCGATTTACTCGGAAGACTTCAGTAGAAGCTGCTGGGAGTCCCAGCCCCAACTCCGGGGACTTCGGGTGGCAGTATACGCCGTGAAGTGGTTTGCGGCCTGCCAGTAAACCCAACGCAGAAGAAGAAGCAGTGACGTCAGCGGCTTCATTTGCGTAATCTTCCCTCAGGGAAGTACTTCGGTGTGAACGCAATCAGTACTCAGTCCCCCGTCCCCCATGGGGCACTGAGTACTGCAAAGTACGCGGTGTGAACCCGGCAAATGGCTATGAATACATTTCTATGTTATAGCCACAATGGGAATGGCATTTTCTTTTATCAGGTTAAGATGCATTCAAAGTGTTTTTTAAAGTGATTGTTGTTTACTGACTGTGTTTTTGTTCTCCACAGCTGACCGGTGCAAAGAGGTCCAGCAGATCCGGGATCAGCACCCCAACAAGATCCCTGTAAGCTGCTCCTTCATTTCAACATCATACACTTCTTCGCTAAATCATATTCGATTTCTGATTTACAGTACGTTGTGTCTGCAGGTGATCATCGAGAGGTATAAGGGGGAGAAGCAGCTTCCTGTTCTGGATAAAACCAAGTTCCTGGTTCCTGACCACGTCAACATGAGCGAGCTGGTGAAGATCATCAGGTACACACACACACAGGGATGACTGTAAACATGCACACAGATGCACACTTATTGTATAGACTTTCTTGTACCTTCTCTCAGATAGACTCACTTTATCTCCCTCACACACACACACACACACACACACACACACACACACTGTTAACACACAATATGCACGTTTCTGCAGCTAGGGGTCTCTCGATCAAAAACAAAGACAGAAATCCTAAAGTGATGTTTTTAATATGTGGAGATTAAATGTAGAAATCCCATTGGACCGGAGAGATGCTGCCTTCAGGGACTACATCATTGCATAATCTTTAACCCAAATGTCCCCGTCTCCCAGGCGGCGTCTGCAGCTGAACCCGACCCAGGCCTTCTTCCTGCTGGTGAACCAGCACAGCATGGTGTCCGTCTGCACGCCCATCTCTGAGATCTACGAGCAGGAGAGGGACGAGGACGGCTTCCTCTACATGGTGTACGCCTCACAGGAGACCTTCGGGTGCTAGGGGGGGAGGAGGAGGAGGAGGAGGAGAGGGAGAGAGGGGAAAGAGTGGAGAGAGAGAGAGGGGGGACATCTTCAGGTGCTGGGGGGGCCTGAGGAGGCATATCAATGGTGTCGGAACCAACGAGAAACCACCAAATCTGTTGATCCTCTCCTCAGAGGTGTCCACCAAGAGCAGCAAAATGAGGAGATTCTTCTGAAGGGAAATGTAGTTCAGGAGAGGCAGATATTGTCTAGTGACAAATTCTAGTAATAATTCATTTGGCAAAAAGATTAATGAGAATAAAATAAAATGCAAGCAACGAAAAGATAAGGGACATCAAATCTGTCTCCTCCCCTTTCCATTGGTCATGTGACATGTTCCCTCTCTCTTTAGTGGACCCCCCCTCTTCCTATTGGTCAGTACAACACTAGCTGAGGACATCCTGTGTTTGTTTTTATTCTCTCGGTCCCACACAGACTCCTATTTTGAAAAAGCGGGACAAAACCGGACACATTTGGGCATTTTTTAAATTGATGAGTGTTTTAGACACGCTAAGCCAGACAGGAAGTGGTTTAAAGATTCTTCTTTATCCCCATGTGTCGCCCTTTATTCCCGTCATTGAAACTAGCAGATCGATGGGGGAGCGATTGTAGTTTTACTTTTTTTTAACTCACTTTTTAGTGTTTTAATCGTTGCCTTTTGTTCGAGACATTAGCCGTAGTTTTGTTGTGTCGTTTGTTTCTTTTTAATCGTACATTTGACCGTCGGCCTGAAGCTGAAAATCAGGCTAACGACGACTGTAATCCTGGGACATTTAATTACTTTAATAATTAATCTTACATGTGCAATATTTATCCCGTCAAGCCCTCGCAGGGTAACACTACCACTTCCTGTAAACGTCACAGAAGGGAAGTTGGCATTAGCATTAGCATCACTAAAAGAGACGCTGCTACATCCTGTCTCTGAGTAACAGACTGAAGCACAACACACCTCGCCTGTTAGCATCACGACTCGCTTGTTAGCATCACGACTAGCTTGTTAGCATCACGACTCACCTGTTAGCATCACCTGACTCGCTTGTTAGCATCATGACTCACCTGTTAGCATCACCTGACTCGCTTGTTAGCATCATGACTCACCTGTTAGCATCACGACTCGCTTGTTAGCATCACACGACTAGCTTGTTAGCATCACGACTCACCTGTTAGCATCACCTGACTCGCTTGTTAGCATCATGACTCACCTGTTAGCATCACGACTCGCTTGTTAGCATCACGACTCCCCTGTTAGCATCACCTGACTCGCCTGTTAGCATCACACGACTAGCCTGTTAGCATCACGACTCGCCTGTTAGCATCACACGACTCGCCTGTTAGCATCACACGACTCGCCTGTTAGCATCACACGACTCGCCTGTTAGCATCACGACTCGCCTGTTAGCATCAGACGACTCGCCTGTTAGCATCACACGACTCGCCTGTTAGCATCACGACTCGCCTGTTATTAGCATCACACGACTCGCCTGTTATTAGCATCACACGACTCGCCTGTTAGCATCACACGACTCGCCTGTTAGCATCACACGACTCGACTGTTAGCATCACACGACTCGCCTGTTAGCATCACGACTAGCCTAACTAAACGTCATCACGCCCAACATTAGCCGCCGTTAGCTTAGCGTGAAGTCATGTGACCGTACTGTAGTTCCTGTATAGCTTTTCCTAAATGTTTTGTTTACCACAGACACAAAGCCAATGGAGAAATCCCATTGGCTTTTAGCAGAGGGAACCAGGGAGATGCTGCCTTCAGGGTCGGATTAAAAAAAATACGTCATCCCTGCACCAGTCTGTTAGCGTTAGCATCACAGGACAATAAAGGGTCAAAGAGCACTACTACAGCACAGGAAGTGAGTCAATAATGATCATTAAAGGCTTGGGCAGCGAAACTTAAATAATATAATTATCACATTTTGTATATTGAGCTCCTCACAGCTTGGTAGCATAGACTTGAGCATTAGACATAACAAAATGTATTTAACGTTGGACATGAACAAGCTTCTTTTGCACATAAATTAAAACCAATATAAGAGAGTTGGCATATATATATAACGATTATTATTATCATCATCAACCCTCCTCTCCTCTCTGTCCGTGTGTCCGCCTGCCTTTCTTTGAAAATACTTTACAAAAGGTTGTGATGCTCTACACACCCTGCATGTTTTAACCTTTGTTTTTATAAATGTATGTATATCTTAATTGCATTGTTTAATGTAGACATTTGTAGATGTTTCCCGAACCAAAAACTGACGTTTTGAAGGAAAACAAAAGAACTGTGTGCGTATAAAACGATCATATAATCGAGCTGTGTTACAAAGTGTGTTTTTCTTTAGGCTTTCTGACATGTCACTGTTCGGAGGGGTGTATATAGACGCATTGCTGCAACCTTATTCAAAGCATTTGCCAATAAAGAAATAAAAAGTTGCCTTTAAAATGTTTCCTTCTTGTCTTTTGTTTGTTCGTCACTGAAGAGGTAGACTAAATGTTCTGATTTTTAAAATACAGTACATTCCATTTTGAATTGGCCCGCAGCTAATTAAAAAAAGGATAATGGAATATTAACACCTGAAACTTGTGTTTATCTTTTATTGCACTAATTAAAAATATATTACACAGCAGTATTCATGTGTTCACAAGAGCCCACTTTTCAAATAGTTGAAGTTGAGACTTTTTTTTAACAAATCCCAGTTGTGTGATGCTACCTCACCTGGAGAGGGTGTGGCTGTGCTGTGTCCAGCCTTGATTGCAGTAACTCAGGGCACAAGGGTCCGGTGCCCTGCTGCTCCCTCTCTGCTCCTTCCTACAAGCATCCGGTTTTGTTTAGTATGCTGTTGCTACTTCAGTTGCTTTACTTTGTGCACCTCAACACCCTCACACATACACGTCCATATGTCCAGGTCTTTAATGACATCCACTTAATCACAGACAGTGGCAGAACTTCAGTGTTAGTATTATTAGATCTCAGTACTGCGTTTGACACTGTTGACCACAGCATATTACTAGACCGACTGGAAAACTGGGTGGGACTTTCGGAAACAGTTCTGAATTGGTTTGAATCCTACTTAAAGGACAGAAACAACTTAGTTTCTATAGGTAAATACACATCTGAGTTGACAAATATGACATGTGGGGTTCCTCAAGGCTCCATCTTGGGGCCTCTTCTCTTTAACGTCTACATGCTACCACTGGCTCAGATAATGAAGAACAACAAAATAAGTTACCATAGCTATGCGGATGACACACAAATCTACATAAAAATTTCACCAGGAGACTATGCTCCAATTCAAACACTGAGTAAGTGCATTGAACAAATCAATGACTGGATGTGTCAGAACTTTCTCCAATTAAATAAAGATAAAACTGAGGTAATGGTTTTTGGAGCCAAGGCAGAACGTATAAAAGTTAGCACTGAGCTTCAGTGTGCAATGTTCAAAACAACAGATAAAGCCAGAAATCTAGGTGTAGTCATGGACTCTGACCTGAGTTCCAACAGTCACATTAAAACTGTTACTAAATCAGCCTACTATCACCTAAAGAATATATCTAGGATTAAAAGACTAATGTCACAGCAGGATTTGGAAAAACTTGTCCATGCTTTTATCTTCAGTAGACTCGACTACTGCAATGGTGTCTTCACAGGTCTCACTAAAAAATCTATTAGAAAGCTGCAGCTGATTCAGAACGCTGCTGCTCGAGTCCTCACTAACACTAAGAAAGTGGATCACATCACTCCTGTTCTGAAGTCTTTACACTGGCTTCCTGTGTGTCAAAGAATAGATTTCTAAATACTGCTGCTGGTTTATAAAGCACTGAATGGTTTAGGCCCAAAATACATTTCTGACCTCCTGCTAAATGATGAACCATCCAGATCTCTCAGGTCTTCAGGGACTGGTCAGCTTTCTGTCCCCAGAGTCAGAACTAAACATGGTAAAGCAGAGTTCAGTTATTATGCTCCAAATATCTGGAACAAACTCCCAGAAACCTGCAGGTCCGCTGCAACTCTGACTACTTTTAAATCCAGCAAGAAGACTTTTCTCTTTGTCGCTGCTTTTAATTGAACTATTCATATCTTAGACTGCACTGTAACTTTTATCCATGTATTTTTTTCTTTTAATGTTTAATTGACTGCACTGTAACTTTTATCCATGTATTTTTTTCTTTTAATGTTTTAAATTTAAACGTAATTAATTTCTCCATGACATTTATGAGAGGGACTGCTTGAAAGTAGGATATTTGGGATATCCATCGTAGCCAGGGTTTACGATCAGTTTTTAGGTGAGTTGTACTGAGGAACAAGTATCACATCGCCGACGGGTGAAAAATAGAGTTTTGGTAACACGGGGTGTTCAGGTAACACTTAAAGACTTTGTTATGGAACGCAAAGCAGAGTAGGGGGCTAGTACACTCTCCTGAGGGTCCGATTGTGGATGTCATGCGAGCATAACATGGTGAAAACAATCAGTCTAAATTAACAATCGGGACGGAAATGTTCGGATTTCCAAAGGGAGGTTCTGTGAATAAATTAAAAATCAAGAACCGAAAGAATTGAACTATTCATATCTTAGACTGCACTGTAACTTTTATCTTTTAATGTTTATTTTATTAGCTTTTCTTTTTAATGACTGATTTTAAATGCCATTTTCTTAACGTCTTTCATTTTTTGTTTTTCTTTTAATGTTTCTTTTATTATCTTTTACTGTTTTTAAATGCCTTTGTCTGAATGTCTTTCATTTTTGTAAAGCACCTTGAATTGCCTGGTGCTGAAAGGTGCTATATAAATAAACTTGCCTTGCCTTACTTTACTGATACCACTGACGTCCACACCTCATGCTTTACTCACTTTGCACTTCTTTAATTTGGTTCATTTGAATTACTTACTTTAAATCTTTTATTAACCATATGTGTCTCCTCTTTGTTGTGGCCTTTTGAGCCAGGTCATAACAGTTGATAAAAGTCATAACTTATTTCCATACCAGGCTTGAAATATGGGGAAACACGTACATAACAAAACTACAACAAAATATTGTATAGGCTATCAACAACAGCCTGCCCTGGCCTCAGACCACAGCCTGACAACGGCACAGCACACTAAGAAGAGGATCAAACCTGTTTCCTTGATGTTTGTCTCTGGGGAATGGGCCGGTAGGCCTACATAGACAGGTTGCTATAATATAGCTTTTGATCTTGGCGTCGGGGGTCTCCATAGCGCCATAGAGTCCCCTATCGGTTGGGGCCCTTGGGGGAACTGTTAGACCACCGCCAGGCACCGCCAAATCCAGCCTCTCCTCCTGGCTGGCTGGAGAAGAAGGTCTCACAGCCACGGCCACTGATACAGCTTCACTTGTGGAGCTAGATGGCAATGATGGTGGTGAGCTATCGTTAGCCTCCGGCTGCTGCTGCTGCACGTCAACTTTGCTAACGTTAGTGCTCGATTTCGAGGATGATGTATGACAAAAAAACGGTCTAATTTAGTCAGTTTAGCTGTTACATCTCCATGTTCTCTCTTGTCCTTACTCTTTTGAGCGCTGCTCTTGTGCTTTGGTTTGTTGCACATTATAAATGCAAGCTATTACATTTTTTATAATGCTGCCGAACTTGCTGCTGCTAGCTACAGTACAGGTTGATTAAACGGTTCGCTCGTCACGCACAACACACTCTCACTCCCTAAGCGTCCAGGAGCGACGTTTGGTCAGTGTCCGTGGCGTCCAGTTGTGACGCTCCTAGGCTCCTTCAGCGTCATAAAGGGACGCAAATAGCTTTCAACTGATTGCAATGTATTCCCATCTGCGGCGGGATTTGACGCTCATGGAAGCACGGCATTCGTTTGTGTCGGCTGCCCTTAAAGGCAATGTGAGCGTCCATTCCCATTGGATAACGGAGAATTGTACACCCGGAAGTAAGTATTCCTCTTACTGTCGATTGATTTTACAGTGATATCTGCACTACTCATCGACTAAAAAACACCAGATTATCCTTGTTAATTACACAACATTGATTGGTTTAAATTGTGTGCAATGCTTTTGTATTTTTCCCCTTCGATTCGGAGAAACAAATATTTTTTCGGAGTAAAGGATGGCAGAAGACACTACACTACCCAGAATCCCCAGCTATCGTTTGGACTACACCATGTGCTCTGTTTGACAAACCCCGTGATAGTCCTCAAGCTCTGTGATTGGAGAGTGTGCTCCGAGGGTTACGCCGAGCCTCGAACAGCACTTGAAATGGGATGGAACCACGACAGACTGTCCAAAACTGGATTTGAACGGGTCCACCGCGTCCCCCCTCCCCCACCCCGTCCCCGTCCCCCACCCCGTCCCCGTCCCCGTCCCCGTCCCCGTCCCCGTCCCCGTCCCCGTCCCCAGAACTACACATGCTGGCTATTGTGTTTCGCAACATGTTCTCTATCTATGGCACGTCTCTACTGGGAGTTGTAGTTTTAAAAGACGTTTTCGTATTTCCCATAATAAGAATTGCCAGTATTAAACTGTGTACATCCCTGGAGGTTTAGGGGATAGGAAACACTCAAATTTAAAACATATAATTAATAAATGGGTGAAAATGGCTTGTGCCCATAATGGGTAGCATTAATATATATATACACACATGCCAGCTAAGGTCAGAAGAGCTTTATTTAACAGCTGGTCTTATGTTTGTGACCCCTATTGTTAATTGATAACATTACATTACATTAATTGATAAGCCTGAAACATGCACTTGTCAAGGTTCAGAGGCACATTTTGCAAATATGGCAGTATAGCCATCGATCAGCTTAAGATAAGATATACTTTATTGATCCCAAGTTGGAACATTTGCGTTACATCAGCATGTGTAACAGTTGTAAATATGCAGTGGTGTTTATTTGTAAATCATTTAGTATAATCACACAAATTCTGTGTTTTATATTTAACAATTCTGTGTTCTTTATTTATTGATTGTTCAATACCGGACAAGGCTGGAGATGAAATATCTACATACATCTTATAAGAGTATAATACATTATGTATAATATCAGTTAAAATAAGTGCTTCAACATAGTTAACATTGCTGGAGGTATGCACAAATATTGATAGATGTCTTGTAATGCACTATTGAGGAACCTGCGACCCAAGTTTTTCATTCAATGCAGAACTACACCATAGTTGTGTAGGCCTATATGATATGTCAATAAACCTTAGAAAATCTTGAAATGGATGTGCAAAATAGTCATTATATACAGTCTTTAATTAATTATTAGTAGAGAATAACGAGTAATGAATATACTCTATAGGGATCCTATTAATATCTAATAATAAAAATAATGAAATGCAATAACATGGTTTAACCACTAGGTCCATCCATCCATCCATCTTCTCCCGCTTATCCGTGGTCGGGTCGCGGGGGTAGCAGTTCCAGCAGAGAGCCCCAAACTTTCTTTTCCCTGGCGACATCAACCAG